TTCAGGAATGCACACTTCACGTCCATATGACATATGTGCCATCTGTTTATTTCTGTTAGACCAACAACCAACCTGATTGTTTCGATCCTAGCAACAGGTGCAAAAACTTCACCGAAGTCTATTCCTTCTTTCTGTAGAAATCCTTTCGCCACAAATCTTACTTTGTGTTGAGTTACTTCCCTTTTGGAATTCATTTCCACTTTATATACCCACTTGACATCAATTGCCTTCTTGCCTTGAGGCAATTCGACAAGTGACCAAGTGTTATTGTCTTTGATAGACTTCACTTCTTCGTTCATTGCTTTCATCCACTTTGAATCCTTCAATGCTTCAGCTGCATTGACAGGTTCTACATCTGCATATAAATCATAATGTACCAATTCACCTTCATTGTCTATCACATCATCTGATGTAATCACACAATCTTGCAGGCATGCGTCTTATTCTTTGAGATCTGCTTGTACTTGGTTGATCTATAACTGCTGGTTCCTCTTGTCGAACTTCTCTTTCGACTTGAGTTTCTGGTTCTTCAAGTAGGATTCCCACTGAATCTTTCTTGACATTTTCAGTCCAATCCCATTCTTTAAGCTCATCTATGATCACGTCCCTGCTGATCACAATCTACTTGTTCACTAGGTCGAACAACTTGTAACCTCCTGTCAAATGATATCCAACTAGAATCATTTGACTCGACTTGTCATCAAGTTTTCTTCTTAACTGATCTGGCACATGTCTATGTGCAATAGATCCAAATACCTTCAGATGACTCAAGCTAGGCTTCACACCAGACCAACATTATTCTGGAGTAATTCCTTCTAGTTTCTTCGTAGGACATCTGTTCAAAATGTATGTTGCAATCGACATAGCTTCACCCAAAAACTCTTTAGGTAAATTCTTACCTTTCAACATACTTCTCACCATATTCATGATGGTTCGATTCTTCCTTTCTGCAGTTCCATTAAGCTGTGGAGTATAGGGTAGCACCACCTCTTGCACAATTCATTCCTTTTCACATAACATGTCGAAGTCTTTCGACACATACTCTCCACCACCACCAATTCTCAAAACTTTGAGTTTTCGACCACTTTGTCTTTCAACCATAGACTAAATCTTGGCAAATACCTCGATCACTTCACTTTTCTTCTTGATCAGGTAATTCCATAACTTTCGACTAAAATCATCTATGAATGTAACAAAGTATTTGTTACCTCCCATTGAATCCACCTGGATTGGTCCACATACATCAGAGTATATGACTTCAAGAATAACCTTCGACCTGCTTCCTGCATCCTTGCTGAAGCTATTCTTGTGCTGCTTCGCGTGCACACATTCCTCATATACCTCATTTGGAATGTCGATTTCTGGAAATCCTGAAACCATATTTCTTCTCTTCAAATATTTGATGTCTCTAAAGTTGATATGGCCTAGTCGATAATGCCATATCCATTCATCTCAGCTAGCTGCAGTCGAAAGGCACTTGTGCTCCATCACATTTAGTTCGATCTTGAAGGTTCTATTCCGAGACATAGGAGCCTTCAAGATTAATCTTCCATTTGCATCGACGACTCTCATCATCTTATCTTCGATCGACACTTTATAATTCTTTTCGACTAACTGCCCTATATTGAGCAAATTTCTCTTCATGCCTGGCATGTACAACACATTGGAAATTACTGACCTCTTTCCATCTTTCATCATAATCATAACATCACCAATACCTTCAGCTGCTAGGGTATTGTCATTTGCAAATTTTACCATATTTTTCATTGAAGGCTTTATGTTGACAAACCAGTCTTTCCTTCCAGACATATGTGATGAGCATCCTGAATCCAAGTACCATTGGCCCTTGAATATATCTTCGTCTCTTGTTGTGACCATCAACATCATCTCTTCTTCTTCATGTTTTGCAAACTTTGCATCACTTTCTTGATTCTTTCATTTTTCTGGATAATCACTCGAATAATGACCATACTTTTGAAAATTGTAACATTGAATGTGACTCTTGTCAGGTTTTCGACCACCACCTCTTCCTCTATTTGCAACATCAACTCTTTGGTTGCCTTGGTATGGTCTTCTCTGATTCGATACATTTCCTTCGTTCTGGTTTCCTCTACCAGTCGATTTGTTGTAGCCGCCTCTACCTCTGTCGAACCACTTTCCTTTGCCTTTGGTTTCTTTTGCTGAATGTGCCTGCAAAGCCACATTACTCTTTGACTTTCCTGCAGCTCTTTCAGTCATTCTTTGTTCATGAGATTCAAGCGTCCTTTAAAGTTGTTCCTTTGTCAATTTCGACAAGTCTTTCCCCTCTTCTATAGCCACCACCACGTGGTCGAACTTAGGAGCCAAAGATCTCAAGATCTTCGAAACAACAACTCTTGTTGTTAATGTTTCTCCAAATACCTTGATTTGATTCACTAGTTTGTAACCCTAGTGAAGAAATCAGATATGCTCTCACTATCTTCCATCTGAAGCAATTCATACGTTCTCTTGTGAGTTTGTAACCTCACTTCTTTCACCTTTTCTACACCACCAAAAGACTTCTCAAGAACCTCCCAAGCTTCTTTTGCAGATTCTGAATCACTCACTTTTTCAAAATTTTATGGACTCAGACATTAATGAATTATAAAGAGTGCTTTATAACTTAGCTTATCAAATTCTGTGTGTTTCTTCTTTTCTTCTTCTGAAGCGTTTTCTCCAAGCGCTTCCAATCTATCCTTTACAAGATCCCAAAGACCTTGACACCTGAATAAAATTTTCATCTGTTTGCACCAATTCTCATAGTTGTCTACTTTTAGAATTTGTAGAGTTGCTGGATAATTTTCATTTCCATAACTCACCATCGTGAATTCTTCTTCTTTCTCAGTTGTTCTTGATCGATGCTTCCCTTGAATCGATTAACCGAACTCTTGATACCAGATGTTGGAAATCCACCAAATAACTATGATGAATTTCTACCAATCTTGATGAGCAAGATTGATATCACTACACAATGATAATGAATTATGAAAAAAGAAAAGAAAATAAAGAAGACAATTATTTTCTGCAGAGTTTCTCTCTGCCCACAAACTGTAGAAAACTTTATTAATCACTTGCAACTGCAAATTCTGTGATTACAATGAATTGACTTAATTACAAAATTAGGAGTTACTCCCTCTATCTATATATTTAGGTTAGCTTGCTCCCTAAGCCAAAGCCCATAACTATAAAAGCCCAAAATATCTATTTTGATACTAAATCAAATATATCTATTTTAGATCTAAATCAAATTTATTTAAATCTAAAACCAATAAAATCAGTGCGTAGCTTGTTTCGATCCACAAACTTTTTAACTGGACAACCTCCCTTCAACATACACTGTTTCGACACAATCAAATTACAATTTAACAAATATTAGATTGCCAATATTAGTTAAATTCTTTTACATTTTATTTTCAAACATCGTTGCTATTAAGTTAAATATATAGATTTTCTAATATTTTTAACTTATTTTCTTCTTCTTTTTGTTTATATAAAAATTGTAGGTACACTTTTGTAACAACATTATTAAAGGATTATGATTCTCATTATGTTGTAATGTGCGTTGATAATATTTTTTTTTTTTACTTTATTGAATATTAAAGATCCTTACAAAACAAAATTGACATATGAATGAGACAACTTTTGTGAATAAAATATTTTTTAAAGAAGACATAATAAAGTTCAAATTTAATCTTCATTCAACCAGCAACAAATGTCATATATATATATATATATATATATATATATATATATATATATATATATATATATATATATATATATATATATATATATATATATATATATATATATATATATATATATATATATATATATATATATATATATATATATATATATATATATATATATATATATATATATATATATATATATATATATATATATATATATATATATATATATATATATATATATATATATATATATATATTAATTTCTCCACCACAAACAAAAAGTGAAAAGGAAACAAAACAGACGGGTGATTCACCAAAACCCTATCAATAAAATACAAACCGAAAGAACAACATGCTTAACCTATTCTTCACAAAATCAGACTTAATACAGTCAGAGATGGATGAAAAGAAAGTAGTATCAGTCACGTTAAACCCTAAATTAACATGATTGTCTGCACAACTGTACCTTCCCTGAAAATATGGGAAGCTACAAAATTCCAATTAGAAACTATATTTATACAATTAAGCCACCTATTTTTTATAAATCAAGGCATTTTAAAAGGAGAATTGAACGTTTTGACAACGACCATCGAGTCTGTTTCTAAGCAAATGTTGTTCCAATTCTTCTCATAAACAAACTCAATTGCAATCATTGCACAAAAAAATACGGCGATGAGAGAGTTAGAAACCCTCAAATAAGAAGCGAAAGCTCCCAAGAAACAACCACCACTATTCTTACTATGTCCCCACAAGCATACGACCCCGAAGTAGCAATCAAAGCTCCACCACAAACTATATAACCATATTATTTACTTAACATATTTTTTCTTCATTAATTATATCAATCATTATTCTATTTAAAATATTAAAATGTGCGAGTCCCCTATCTATTTTTATTTTTTTTTGACAAAAGAGACCCGTATCTTATCATCTTTGTCATTTTATCATGTTTTTAAATATTTTCTATTGGCAATAATGTGATTTTGAATGAAACAATATTTATAAGTAATAAGGCACATTTTTTTTAGAAATTTTAAAACTAAACTAGTTTATCAGCATTGTTGAAAACATGTCAACGAGGCATTGATTGAATGCAAGTTCCTATTTAGTTTATTCACTTGCATCTTATTTTTCATCGCCATTGCTTCTTCGAGCTACCCTACCCAACAAACAACAAATCTATCCTTTTGCACCAAATCTACAAATAAATGTTCTAAAACCTACAACAATGCACTCTCACTTTCCACAACTAACTCAAACTCCAACACAAAACAGTTTTCAACAATGACGCATCTCCTCCCACGTTCTCTCTTCTTCACCACACCCACCATTGCCCCCGCCACATTTTTCCAAGCTCCGATCCGACTTCAGAACTTCGGATGCTTCACGATCCGATGTACTGGCCAGTTTCATCTCCAAGTCCGCAAACCCGAATGCAACTTCCAGAAACGCGTAGTCAGCGGTGATCTCAACTTCGACTCTCTCCTTTCGGCTATGGAGCTATCCTGCCTGGTTTCATCGGCTATTTTTTCTTTTATTATGGCATCAAATGGATCGAAGAACTGGTTGATGATGGTGAGTGGTAATAGAGTTAATGCTGTGTGGGGGGTTTTGATATTGGCAGGTGGTGTTGCGGCTGGGGTATTGCTTCGGAGGCGGCAATGGAAGAGCATCGTTAGAGAGAATATGAAAGGTGGATTGATGGAGAAGATTGAGAAAGTGGAGGAAGATTTGAGGAAGACAGTGAGAGTCATTAGGATTTTGTCGATGCATATTGAGAAACTGGGGAAAAGGTTTCGGGTCACTAAGGAACCCATCACTCAGGTATTAATAATCTTTATCTTTTTGTTGTGTTCTCAAATTAAAACTATTGTAAACTAGAAGTAGTAACATACTGGATTTCTTGAAGTCTGCAGCTATAGCCCAGAAGAATTCTGAGGCCACAAGAGGTATAGCGGTGCAATATGAAATTTTGGAGAAGGAGATTCATGAAATTCAAAAGGTTTTACTAGCAATCCAGGTAGTTATTCCTTCATAAAATTAATGCTATCTAACCTTTGCATAGATGTGACAGGGGAGCACACCCTCATGACTCAAACCTTCACTACTAGGTCACACACGCACGCACACAATTATATGTTATTGTTATTTAGACTTCAGAGCTATGCCTATATGTTCTTGCTGACTTGATACCTAAATTCATTTAGGAACAACAACAAAAACAATTTGATCTGATTCTCTCGCTAAAGCCGTGGGAAAGAAAACGCAATACTCCCAAAGAGCAAGATATATTACAATCTACTACTAACTTAGCTGAGGATGAGGTAATAAAGCATGTGGAAGACCGCCAAATCTGAATCAAGAGAAGATAATTCATGAAATTTTGAAAGGGCAAGTATTGGTACCTTATCACATTGAATTGTTGATTACTCGTTTTTTCAGAGTTTATTTAGTGTTTGCCGTGGACATAAATTAGGAGAATCTACCGGAAACAATTAGCCGGCATAGTATCAATTGGTTCTTTTTATTACTTGGGCATGTACTTTTTATTCATAACTAGTCGATAACCCGTGCTGTCGCACGGGGCCGGTCGAGAATTCATAAAACGTGGAACTAATGTTGTCATGTAACAGTAAATTCGTTTTTATGTAATTCAATAAAAGTTCATCTAATTCGGCCAAATTCAGTGTATCAAACTTATTTGACAACATTAAAAAATGTAAACTGAAATCATGATTGTGTAACAAAATAAGAAACTGTGATGACTCTTTAAAATAAGAAACTATCACGAGTCTTCAGATACAACGCAACCAGCTTGGAAACGATGTTTTCAACTTTTTGACCCGCACAATAAATTATGCAAAAATTATACAGCATTTACGGAAACAATTTATATTAAAGAAAATATTTGTTATTATGTACTTACCGATCAACAAAGAGATTGGAAAACTTCTTTGTATACAACATTTGTAGTGATAGATGTTGATACATTTATACTATCATGTATTAAGATCTTCAGACCACTTTTACTTGTAACTCTTGAAATGGCTACATACAACTGGCCATGACTGAATACAGGAGTAGGCAAATACAATCCAACTGTATCAAGTGATTGGCCTTGAGACTTATTAATTGTCATTGCGTACGACACAATAATTGAGAATTGTCTCCTAATCAACTTAAATGGCCACGGTGACTCGGAAGGTGACATAGACATTCAAGGAATGTAAAAGATGTTACCAACATTCTTACCAGACATGATCTTTGCCTCAATAACGTGATTTGCCAACCTTGTAACAATTAGTCTAGTTCCGTTACACAAACCATCGTTTTGGTCCAAATTCCTCATAAGCATTCTTGGTGTACCAACCTTTAATCTGAGTTTGTGATTTGGGACACCTGAAGTCCTAAGCTTGCTAAGAAATTCTGGAGTAAGACATTCATAGGCTTCGGTGTAACTTGAATCAGTTCTATCAATCGAATCAAAACTCAAATACTCTTTGTCCTCACCTAAGAAATGGGAAAACGCGAATCAATCCATAATGTTTTTTCAAGAATAATTTAATAACGAAACATCTACACGAAAATAAACATCAAAAGAAAAAATAGTTTACCCGGTATCATGTCTAACACGTAATGATTAATTTTATCAACAACTTCAATGGTTGAAGCAAGTATTGCTTTTCCTTGTAGAAATTCTACATTTTGAAAGTCGGCAAGCAAATTTGGGTATGTGCTTTCAACTATAGCTCTTATTGGATCCTCAAAATTGGAAATTAACAAATCCGGAGGAATTTCTATATCAGCTAATCCATCGTTAGGTTCACATATTTTACCGTCGCCAACATTTAATATCCATTTAGAGAATTCTGCAAGTTCATCAGAAGTTGTACTGTCCCTCCCATTCTTTAGTCTCATGTTTTTGGTTAGTGTTAAGACTTGGCAATAGTCCCACACATAAGAAGAACAAATGGAAGCATGAACAATATCAGAACGGCCTGCTCTTGGAACAACTGGAAGTATCTGTCGAAAATCTCCTCCAAATATAACTACCTTGCCACCAAAAATTGTATTTGCAAAACCCTTATCGCTCATGACATCCTTAAGGGTCTTATCCAAGGCCTCAAAACAATTCTTATGAGTCATGGGTGCTTCGTCCCATATTATGACATCAGTAGCTTCGAATAACTGTGAATGCTCAGAGTCTTTGTCAACATTGCAAGTAGAGTTGTCAAGCGTTGGAATGGGAATTTTGAACTTCGAATGGGCTGTTCTACCACCTGTCAATAATAAGGAAGCTATGCCACTTGAAGCAACAGCCAGAACAATTTTTTTATCTGAACGAAGTGCACTTGATAATGTCCTCCACATAAACGTTTTACCGGTTCCGCCGTATCCATGTAAAAAAAACACCCCTCCGTTTTGTTTCTTGACGGCGTCCATTATGGTTTCAAAGATTGCACGTTGCTCATCTTGACGTTCAAATGAAAAGAATCAATACAACAGTAGTTTAATGAAAACATCGATGATTTGAATAATGAGGAAATACCTGTTAGAGATGTAAATAGATTCTGGAAGTTTTGTCGCTCTAAATCAGCATCGTAATCACGTTCATCAAAAATCAGTCTATTGCTGACATGTCGCGTTATATACAAATCTGGAAACGGCATATCTTTGAATTCACGCAAGCTTCTTCTATTTGATTGCATCATATTCTCAATCTCAATTAATGTGAGGTTTGTCAGTTCTGCAGTTGACAATTGCATGTCTTCCAACACAAATATGTAGGATTTATTTGGAAAAAAAAATTGAAAATGTGGTGAAAAATTGTGGGAGTGCCACATCAGATTCAAATCAATGTGGTGCAAGATATTTTGGAGTTTCCAATTTTACCCCAATACAATAGACCAACAATGGATTTTGATAATGACACTTAAATCTATTTTGTTAATTTTTTTTCTTCTAATATTCTGTTTCTATCTTAAAGTAACACAAAACTTATTTTTCTATAATATTTTACTTTTTAAAAGAAAATCCTACAAAAGGAAAAGGGACAGTCAGGGTTCTAAAAAGTCTGATTATTATTTTGTTATTATTTTTTTAAAAGGAATACAAAAATCAAATTCAAAGATATTATGATTTATTTATTGATTAGTAATTAAAATTTATTAACAAAATAAATTAAATGAATAAAAAATAAATAAAATAAAATAAAATAAAAACAAAGTTATCTTACAAAAGGTGGAAGGAGTGCCCCATCCTTCAAATATTTTTTTTAAATTTTTTTAAATTTTTTTAAACTTAATATTTTTAATATTTTATTTAATGAAATCAACAAATAAATTAAAAAGGATTTAATTTTTATTTTATTTTAAAATAATAAAAAATCAACTTAAACAAAAAAAAGAGCAAAAGAAACGTCCACGCTAAAAACGAATTTTTTAACTGATTATTATTTAATTAATAAAAGTCCACAAATAAACAAAAATCAAATTAAAATAAAACAATGTTAATAATATATAATTTGGGATGTTGACAAAAATCTTACATAATTCATATCTTAAAAAAATGCTAGTTAAAAAAAAATTTATAATTCATTTTAGAAAATTATCATCAAATATGATAAATCAATAATTTCAGTTTTAAGTTCTTTCATATTTTTCTTTTATTTTATTGTTTTAATTTATAACCATTTCTTTATTTTTATTTCAGTTTTTAGTTTTTGTCTATAAGTATTATATCATTAAATAGTCGGATTATTATTAGTATTATTGATTGTTATTATTTACTACTGTTTATATCTATTAACCATAAGAAAAATACATCAAAAGCTTTTCCAAATGCACCCTTAAATTAGCATAGCAGCCTATTATATAAAATATTCCTTATTACATCTAATCTTTCTATATGTATAAACTTGAACTCCAAGATGATGAATCAAATCAAATTCTAATCAAATCTCCATAATTCTATAACCAATTTGAAAACAAAATCGAATCTCAATCAAAAACCATAAAAAATCACAATCCCATTTAAATAAGATCATCAATGAATCAAAGATCGATCTTTAAAATTTTGAAATGAAACATTCCTTGTTGATGCTTGAGCAGGTTGTTGTTGTTTGAGCAGGTTAAGAAGTTGTTAGAAGCAATGTTGATAATTTGGGTTAAATAGCTCTTTTGCTTCTCTTCTTGGCTTCATGAAGGTTAAGAGTTCATTAGCAGCAGCTGCTCCAGGAGTAATGACTATTATTTGTGGCTCGAATTTGGGTCTACCACCTCTTACTTATTCCATGAAGGCTGCCATTGCAGTTCTGATAGATATAAGTCGATGATAGTCTTGAAATAATGCATTCTCTCTAAAACCATTATAATCCTCTGGGTACTTTTCTACCAAATCAATCATCTGGGTACTTTTCTACCAAATCAAATGAAACCTGAACACAACACGTTAAAATATATTAGTATTTCATCAGAAGCTAGAACTATAAACATTAATTTGAATAGAATGATATATGAATATAGACTTACTTGGTTAGGATACTTGCAAGAAAACGCTCGCGGTACGAAGTCTCTGTGCAATTGCAATTGCTGCCTGCAGAGAGATGTCATAACAAATGGATAAAAAACAGATTTCGACATAGACATTATATTATATTTCACGCAAATTCACCTGTAAACCAAACATTTTACAATCAGCTTCCATTTCATGTTACTTACCTGCTACATCAAAAGCTTTTCCAAATGCACCCTTAAATTAGCATAGCAGCCTATTATATAAAATATTCCTTATTACATCTAATCTTTTTATATGTATAAACTTGAACTCCAAGATGATGAATCAAATCAAATTCTAATCAAATCTCCATAATTCTATAACCAATTTGAAAACAAAATCGAATCTCAATCAAAAACCATAAAAAATCACAATCCCATTTAAATAAGATCATCAATGAATCAAAGATCGATCTTTAAAATTTTGAAATGAAACATTCCTTGTTGATGCTTGAGCAGGTTGTTAATGTTTGAGCAGGTTAAGAAGTTGTTAGAAGCAGTGTTGATAATTTGGGTTAAATAGCTCTTTTGCTTCTCTTCTTGGCTTCATGAAGGTTAAGAGTTCATTAGCAGCAGCTTCTCCAGGAGTAATGACTATTATTTGTGGCTTGAATTTGAGGCTACCACCTCTTACTTATTCCATGAAGGTTGCCATTGCAGTTCTGATAGATATAAGTCGATGATAGTCTTGAAATAATGCATTCTCTCTAAAACCATTATAATCCTCTGGGTACTTTTCTACCAAATCAATCCTCTGGGTACTTTTCTACCAAATCAAATGAAACCTGAACACAGCACGTTAAAATATATTAGTATTTCATCAGAAGCTAGAACTATAAACATTAATTTGAATAGAATGATATATGAATATAGACTTACTTGGTTAGGATACTTGCAAGAAAACGCTCGCGGTACGAAGTCTCTGTGCAATTGCAATTGCTGCCTGCAGAGAGATGTCATAACAAATGGATAAAAAACAGATTTCGACATAGACATTATATTATATTTCACGCAAATTCACCTGTAAACCAAACATTTTACAATCAGCTTCCATTTCATGTTACTTACCTGCTGCAACAAAAGTCTCAGCTGTTTAGAACACTATCCCATAACAGCAATTGACAGATTGTTGAAATGCCATTAGTCCACACCATTTTGGTTCAGTAGAATGTTGCAAATATATTTTAAAATCTAAGAAATGGATTTTGGAGTGTCCTGTATCACACCAGCACAAAACACCTGAGGCATCAGCAGCTGGCATCATCTGCTCATAGTTATGTGAAGCTGTAGTTGCTGTCAAATTTTTCTCTAACTGGGATAAAGCTGCATGAAATGTGAAATCAACCCTTAAGTTATCATTACAAAAAATAAATTTACCTTCAAATAACCTACCATCTTCACAGAAGCCAGATACTGGGATAAGCTGCATGAAATGTGAAATCAACCCTTAAGTTATCATTACAAAAGATAAAATTTAAAGGAAAGCTTTAGCAGTTGAGTACCATTTCGAAACAAAACCAATGACCAGAATTTGTTCAAGAGCAGAAACTCCGTGAGTTGAAGCGAAGAAACATTAACAGTATTTGACAGATGCACTAATTCAGCCACATTATCGCGCCGTAGCCGAACTCAAGTCATCGGTAAACATTAACCTGAAATACACAAATTAAGTCAACATTTACATCAAAGTTTCACTCATTCCAATCCACATATTCAAAGTTTCAGTAATGAAGAACTCACAGGATGTCGAAAAGCACAAGTCGGATTAAGACAATTCACCGATAACCAGTACCAGCAATCCCTCGGGTTAAGCCTCACAATCTCATTGTGCCTATAATCACACTCTACACCCTGTAACCAAAACAAAAACAACAAAAAAAAATTGCAGTTAATAATTAATACAACAATGTTCTAGCCTGTAATATCCCTGCTAACCACTTGCTCTCCAATACCACCCGCTACTTTCCCTTCAAATAGGGCAATATGGTTTAAACCAACATCCCTTCGTTTTCCAACCTAAAGAAGGTAAGAGCAATTAGTAAATGGAAAGGTTACATGAAGCTGAAACCAGAAAGTATCTGCAGTGTACATTTCCAAGCCGCAATGTAGAGTTGAAGCCTGCACACACAGTATATTTATTTCTCAATTTCACCAGATTAATCATATAGAACAAAAGCATATAGATGGATATATTAAAAAGAGACCATTAAAAATTCGAAATTTTGATGCTTTTTGATACCTGCTATTGCTTTTTGATATCTCCACAACATCGACGCCAACGTCCCAATCTCTGTTGGGGAAGGATTGAATGAAGAGTGAAAAACTTTTGGTGTTCCATTTGAATTTGAATTCTGATTAAGAGAGGCATAATGATTTGGCATGGGGAAGAGGAAGAGAGGCACAATGAATGGCAAGGAATAATGAATTGGTATTCCCCATGATTGGGTTTCTCACGCTGCCTGCACAATAAATTGAATTGGTTCTTTATTTTAAAAAACAGTATAATATGTGGGATTTATTTGAAAAAAAAAATTGAAAATGTGGTGAAAAATTGTGGGAGTGCCACATCAGATTCAAATCAATGTGGTGCAAGATATTTTGGAATTTCCCATTTTACCCCAATACAATAGACCAACAATAGATTTTTTCAGCTGTGGTGTTGTGGTAATTTCCAGGGACTATGATTTTTATAGATAGATAATAGATGCTCGCTCATATTGTGGCTGACTCCGTTATTGTAAGCAGCTTTTGCACTATTTGTAATCCTATTTATGTATTGTATAACATCTTATTCAACTTGCCTTCTACTACATTCATTCTTGTTTAAGAAATTCACATACATAATTTATTCTCTTTATTTTATTTTAAAATAAATTAAAATTTTAAATTAATTTTTATTAAAAATATTGACATCCAACTAAAACTCATGCGTAACAAAAGAATTTACCTGATTTCTTTGCAAGAATTTTATGTTTTACTTAAAAGATATATATGTCAAAAGTTGTGTTTTCCTACCCCCAATTTTTACACCAATTATTATATAAAATATTATCCACTATAAAATAGTGTGAATAATATTTTTTTAAATAAAAGATATATTTATAAATAATAGTGAACAATAAAATATTATTATTATTATTTTTTTAAAAAAATTGTTTAGATTAAGAAATATTAATATAAAATTGTGTCATTAACCAATTTTTATAATTTTC